ATTTTTTAGAAATATATATTTTATTGATTTTTTTTTACAGAGAGGAAGGGAGAGCGATAAAGAGTTAGAAACATTGATGAGAGAGAAACATCAACCAGCTGCCTCCTACACACCTCCCACTGGGGATGTGCCCACAACCAAGGTACATGCCCTTGACCGGAATCGAACTTGGGACCCTTCAGTCCGCAGGCTGATGCTCTATACACTGAGCCAAACCGGTTTTGGCTCATCAATGATGTTTCTATCTCTCCTTCTCCCTCCTCCCTAAAAATCAATAAAAACATTTTTTAAGTCTATAATTAATACCTTTAAAAAATAATAAGCTGTTAGAGAGGGCTTCATAAACCTTATTATAAAAAATAATGCGCCCTAGCTGGTTTGGCTCAGTGGCTAGAACCTGTGGACTGTGGACTGAAGGGTCCTGGGTTCTATTCCAGTCAAGGGTACATGCCAGGGTTGTGCCTCAGGTCTCAGTGGGAGACATGCAGGAGGCAGCTGATCAATTATTCTCTCATTGTTATTTCTATTTCTCCCTCTCCATTTCTCTCTGAAATCAATAAAAATATTTTTTAAAGGAAAAATAATGCAATTTAGCACTTTGTCAAAGGCTTCCTATAGAAAAAAAATGTTCCGTTTTCTTGAATATAAACCCTACATTAGAAAATATATCAAATAATTCATAAAAAGCAACAGCTTATATCTATGAGCCCTTATATGTCAGGCTCTGTATTAAGCAATGTATGTGTATTAGCTTGTTTCACCCACTAAACATTACAGGGGTATGTCCTCTATTATTGGCCTCTTCTTATAGATGAAGTAACTGAGGATGAGGAAAGGAATTTGCCCACAGTTAGCCAGCTAGGAAAGTGACAGTGGTGGGATCTGAAACCATGCCATCTGACTCTAAAGACCCCTAAATTTAGTCATTCACTCTTTGTAACTTACATTTTTAAAGGCCTGGTTATTCTGGAATACTGGCAATATAATTTCCCCAACCCCCTAACCCCCAACCCCAGAGCTAAAAGAAAACTAATTTCCTATAATGATCTCAGAGGTTCATTAGATTCCTACTGTGGTATGGGCTATAAGTAAGCCATTGAGAACTTCTTAGAATTTGCATCCTGCCTAATAAATTTCCAAATTTGAAGGAAAAATGAAACGGATTGAAAACAGAAGAAGTTTTTATAAGAAAATAACCTGAAATTATGAGGATGTTTGTTTGCTGTTTTGTTTTATTCTGAGTCTAGGAAAGAAGATCTGGTATGATATTAGCATGGTCCAAGGTTCTGTCCACCAAAAATAAGAATGCAAGTCTTTGTCAGTATCTACAAATAAGAATGAGTCCTCATAACAGCACCACTTCTTAAATTCGGCAAAACTGAAATAATCAGTAAAGCTTAGCAAAGTCTACTGAATTCAATCCAGAAGTTGTTAAGTTACATTTTCCCTACTGATACTAGATTAGTGGGAGTGGAAGAACATAAAAGAAATTCAAAGTATGGAGCAAAGAACTTAAGCCAAAGACTGGGTCATTAAACTTGAGATATTTGGTATAGTTCATAATTTGGAGGTGATCTAAGTTTCCCAAGTACTTAATGATGTTCAGCTTTTTGCATTAACATACTGCATTTACCACGTTATAACTAAGCTTACTGATTTTAAAAAAACAATTTCAAATTCCTATAGCAGATTAGTAAGGCAGATCCCATAATGTGAGCATGCTCATAAGCTAACAGAGGTGGCTTTTCCTCCAGCGGAAAGGGGACAAAGAGCAACTCAAGTTATTCATATCAGTAAAGGGTTCTAGCTTCGGGGGCATAGGAATCATACTCTGGGCACAGTGTCATTCTTCCTAGCTATCTACACACCGGAGATAGTGACAACTCACTTTCTCCCCTTTAGAGGTAAAGAATCAGAGCTGTCTCAAACATTCACCATTTCAAACAGAAGACGAACAAGCTTCTCAGACTCTCCTCTGTATTTAGAAGTCAGCGTTGATGAAGAGACATTGAAGAATGTTGTCTTGCATTCTGTAGCTACTGCTTTAGCAAGGAGGGTCTTTCCCGTGCCAGGTGGGCCAACCATCAACACTCCCTGTTGGGAATGTAACAGCATAAATGAAGGATTTATCTGCCATTGTTCTAATTCACTAGAATTCCATTACTAAGGATCACTTTTCAACCAACTTACACATATTAAGACAAAAGACAAATAGAAAGGTAAACAGAAGTATACTTTATCACAAATTTACTTTGTCCATTACAAAAGTATAATAACAGCATTATTTAAAATATGTTTGTAATGTTATAAATTCTATATAGTTTATAATTCTATGTAGTTTATATATTTTAAAAAATGTGGCATAATTTTCAGTTCTTTTAATTAATTTTA